AAGGCACCGTTAATATCGAGAAACACGACAACGTTGGACCGCCAATATATGCGATGGTACTCCAACAACTGACGCAAGGTGAAGATGCGGTCAATGCAGCCAAGACCTCGACGAAACCCGGCTTGCTCTTCACGAATCTGGCTTTCAAGAGTGTCAGTCAGTCTGTGAAGAATGACAGGCAAGCGATTTGGAGGCGATGGAGATCAGACTGATTCCTCTATGGCTGCCGCATTCCGATCGTGAGCCTCCCTTGAAAGTTGGGACTATGACGGAGCGGCTCCAGTCGATTGAGACAGGTTGCTGCTCCCACAGTTTCAATCGTAACTCGTGTAAATCATCCACAATAGCAGGTCCCCCGAAGTTGGAGAAGGCTGGAGGAAGATCATCTGGTCCCACGGCTTTATTTTATTTCAACAGCGCGATCTCACGTTCGACTTCTGAGTGAGAGGGTGGATCCAAAGGCACAGCCCAAGGAGACGGCCGATCAGTGGCCGGAGAGAAATCTAACGATTCCGACCGATCAAATTGCCTTCCAAAGTGCTCAGCCCAATGCTCCAATCGTTTGGACAAGTTGTGGATAGGCTGTCCACTCTGGTCACGTATAGTTTCACTAACACCAGGTCTCCTGCTGCCGTTTTCCCCTATCAGACAAAATAACTTCCGATGGTTACCAAGGGCAGCGGCCACTTCCATCTCTGACGCACGGTGAGACCACCAGGATTCGCGGTCTCTCTTCAGGTTAGCACGGATTTTTGCTCGGAGCCCTTTGCGAGTTTCATTGTGTTCGCTTCCAGCCGGAATATGCCGGCGAGCATCGATAAGTTCCAGAGACTGCGAAGAGAGCCAATGGCTATGTTGGTGATTAGATATAGCACAGGGGATTTTCCTGCTGCTAGTAAGGACTGGTGAATATGAGACCAGTGAGCTTCAGCTGCATCCAGTGAACCTTTATCCAACCCGCTTGACAACGTACTTTGATAGGCATTCAAAACAGCTTGCTTTCAGTTGGCTGGTGTCAGTGCGCTCACAACGTCGTCGTGGGCGGCCGCCAAAGCGCATCCGTAGTTCAGCACATACAAGTGCATGGGTCGATGTTTGCATATGTGCTCCAAATCGAGCGATGGTTCTGGACGCACCCTCTCCATCGGCAACTTATCGCAATGTGATCGATTTGCATCAAAGACTGTTTCGAGGCTGGTGGGCGCCAAGTCACCCTCCGGCGGGTGCTTTGTCGGAAATTAGTGCTCGCAAGAAACAAGCGAGCATCCTCACTCAAATGAAGTAACCGCTCACCGTTATCATTACGGGAGCCTATACCATGCTGGCCACCCAGATGCAGTTCTTCAGTGGATAATATTCCAACTTGTGCGTTCAGATCCCCAGCCAGTACTACAGTGTCCGAGCTTCTTCTATGGCGAAGGAGCTGGATCAGTTGACGATGGAAGTCGTTTTTTACCGAGTCATCGCTACAGTTTATCGGTGCATAGGCAGCGATAAAGCATAGACGCCTGTTAGTCCCAAGTGACTTTGATGCTTTGAACGAGCCAGCCAATCGGACCGCACACATCCGACTACTGATGGGGATCCAATCAACCAGAGTAGCTTCAGCCCGGGGACTCAGGGCAATGCCAACACCAGCTTGCCAGTGCTCGAAGATGCATCGTCACCGGATTGGCGCAATGTAAGAGTGTTGCTATTGTCACCTGAAGGGGATCGCAGAGTGAGTACAGAGCTCGAGTCCTGCAGGCGGGTCTCCGATAAGCAGCAGATATCGATTGAGAGGTTCTCTAATGTTTGGACTAGAGCTGCCTGTGGACCGATCTGAAGCAATGTGCGAACATTGAGGCATATCAATCTGATGGAGAATCGAGGGCTCCAAATGGAAGCCGATGAAGTGGGCTTGACCGCTTGCTTGGACATGGGTCTGTTGACAGGGCAGGAATGACGCTCCGCATGTGAGTTGAAACTAAAAGACAAGCGACTATTGGAGCAAGGTGGGGGAGGGCCAAGAATTGGGGGTTGAAAACAGGGGGGAAAAACTGAGAGTGGAACTGGACGGTACGAGTGAAAAAGCGTAAGAGGAGGAATAAGAAGAAGGGAAGGCTTGATCAGTAGCATCCAAACCCCTATCCACCCTGCTCGATGCGGCAGATAGGGCACCGTTGATTATCGGCTGCGTTGGTCAGAACATCAGCAAATAGTCTGATAAAAGATTCATAGTATTGTGTGTGCAGGATATTGTCAGCTTGCCCAGGCCTAGACAGGAGAACGATTAGGGTTCTCAACCAAAGCCTTTAGTTCAAAAACCTGTCTGCAAGGCAGCGATTTTGGCATTGGGCTACAAGGAGTCCGTTTTAAGGAATAAGGAGCCACCCTCATTCCAACCCCCAACCTGGAGGACCAGGAGGCTGAGTTTGTCTTACCTCTAACCATTGACCAATTTGGTATGCGTGGCCCTGAAGGTGCAAAATGCAGCAGCCAGCATAGCTCAATGGATTACTGAGGCACACAAACCATCGCACCACGGTAAGGTCCAGCCTCATTGCGATAGAAGCTTGTGATTAGTAAGCATTTAACCGTCCAAAGCGTGATTAATATGTTCGGGACATCACAGTCACCCGATAACACTTTCGAAAACGATATCGCTGGTGCTTGAATAAATTTTCGAGACACATACATATAACATTTCGAACAATAGCCCCTTACATTTCCTTGTATTTTTTTTGATTCAAACGTCTGTCATGGGATGGTGACGAATATTGATTCAATGTCAGAAAAAAATAGCAGAAGGATTCTGATTAGTTTGACTTACATAATTTGAAATTGCGTCCATGTTTACTTCCGAAAATTATCAATGCAATGTCATGAAAAGATTGTACTATTATTTGATCCGTTTCTTCTAGGGAACCGGTTCTCGCACCGTCGAGGTGTATTCAATTTATTTATTTATTTACAACAGTCAGGGAATTATGATAGTATTTCATGTGCTCCTTTTTGGATGGGTCCTGTGGTTACCTTCTTTTGTTGGACAACTGACGAGGTCTTGAGTCTCGTAGTGGTATTGGCAGTATTCACTGATTCTAGTTTGACGGCGGGCGGGGTTACGATGGGAGGTGTTTTTGTCAAGTGCGTGGAAACAACAGGTGGATTCAACGAACACTCTGAAGGAAATTTAGCACATTGCAACAAACGGCCTCTGTAACGACGGACCAAACTTTGCGTTAGTCAGTCAGTGTTGCGTCCAGGGGCTGAACATCGATTTCGAATCGCTCCGAGGCATCACTTTTGAAAGCTCTTCACGAGATACTCGCAAACAAGTAATTTGAAAGAGGTATGCTGCTCCTGAAGTCTAATGGATGAGGTGCTTGACCACTAGCGATTATAACGAATGAATCCAGGCCATACGATATAGTCGCCCGATGCAGTTTTTGACAGCGATGTATTCAGTGCGATTGCTACACTTGAAAACATATTCTTTACTTGTATTTGGGATCTCTGTACCTTGCTATCAAAGACAGCACTTTCGATTAACTCGCGATAGAGAATTCTAGTCCGACAGAACAGTACTTCAGGATCCGCGTTGCACCAACAATTGTCGTCGTTGCTAGGTTTAAATGAGGACTAAAGAGCTGCTGATCTTTGAATGAATTTTGGCCCTATCGAAGTACATTAGCAGCGTATTCGCAGTATATCTTTGTTCGCTGTGCCAACAATAGCTCAGGTCGAACGTGACTTGGAATGGGAAAAAGTTAATACAAATTATGTTTTCAAGGATGACTGCGATAAACTCTCGAAGTTAAAATGCACACTTGTCGGTAATCTAGTCGCATGACATTGAAACAGGTAGCGATACGATACTAGGGCCAACGAGGCCAATGAGGTTTCAAATGCACTAATACATATTGATTGTGGAATGCCAGTTGAAAGCCCATGCGTCCGCATTAAAAACACTACGAATTGCTGAAGTTCTCTCGCTATTCCCGCCGGTAGACAGGCAACACTGTTCCTGGTAGTTGAAATATAGTTTAGCCGAGCATCCAGATGCCATGGAGAATTAAGATTGCCTATTAAACCTCAAAACTGGGCTCGTTACAAATACAGAAGGGTTACTAGATGGATAAAATTAGCAAGCAACACAAGAATAAGAGAATACTTACGATTATAATAATTAACAAGAATTTTATCTGATTTGTTTCCTTATTTGTTAATGTGATTGCAGGCTATAAACCGCTAGACGGATACATTCGCTTGTGGTATTCGTTGCAAAGTTACTCGCAACAAAACATAAGCAAATAGCTAATGGACAGTCGGAGTCACTCTAGGCGAACGTTTTTCTTTGCGAACCCATTGTGCGTATAATCTTCCTTGACCAAGCACATCGCTACAAATAAATTACTGTACGATAATAAAAAGGTGGGCCATGTTCTATTGACCTGATGGTTGCAGACTAGGTGTAAGTGTCGACGGACGTTAAAACATGTCCTTTTGGCCAGTATTGATTGCCGGGCACTAAACAATTAGCTCTGTAACAGAACGCAGTTCTATCACGCACATTGCCGCGGCATCAAAGCGTTAAACTCGATTTGCTAGAATAAGTTCATCTTTCCCACTTTCATGCTAATGAAGGAAACTGCGCCGTTGACCACCCAAGATGTAGGGACGCATTGGACATGTTTCCCCCGCTTTCCACAGAGTTGACAGTCAACCCAAATTCGGGATGTGTTATACTTTCACTGCAAATGTTGAAGCATCATTTCATTTATAATTATAGTTCTCGAGATTTTTAGTATCATCCATACACAACACCGCGTGAATTCTACTGGTTTTAATGAATGACTCTGAGAGCTTACATTTTGATTACCTTTAAACAGGTGGCAAATTTAAATCAGTGCCTTGCTCACTTACAAAGTTATGGATTTTGTGAACAACTGAAAGCCGAAGGTCAGTTTCATTTGTGTCCATCTCGAGTTTCTAACTTTAAAGTATGCTCCGCATTTTCGCGCTAGGAATGCACGCGTAATTTCGAACCATTAGCTAATAATCAAAATCCAACTAGTGGAAGACCCGCTAGAATTACGCACTTGTAACTAACGCTTTGGTTAGAGATAGCTTACATCTGACTCGGTGTAGAATTGATGAGTCGATTTTACTGGAAGAGATAGAAATTAATGAATTCCTTCGGACGCAGCGGATCAGGAGGGCCTGTCAATCCACCAGGATTTGGCCATGGAGTGGCCAATCGTTGCACGAAAGCCTCACGTTGATACAACTCTGGGCACAGTCACATGACCGCAATGACTTTGACCACTGCCAATAGGACCTTCTTGACTCTGACTATTCCTTGTTTTCTTCCGAAGCAGACTATTTGTAATGAGCCGGCAGAATAGATTTCATGTTCAGTAGCATTTAGCTAACACTGTGTACGGAAGTAACATGCAAATCAGTGAATAGTAAGCGACACTGAAGTACACTTGGTAACATTTCTGATGTTCGTTACTGTCCTCATAGCTCCGTGGTTTTATGCACAGACTGGTAGCAGTCGAGGTCCGGGTTCGAGCACCACAGGGGCCAGATGGAATGCGCACCACTAACGACTCCCGAAAAGATGAAACGGCCGGACAGTGCTTGTCCGGGCTAGTGATGAATTTATATTTATAGCGTGTATATTTTTGAACAAAATCATTTTGTTGTTGAGCACATGGTTACGGAAACAATGTTGATGTAACGGTACCATCAAACATCTAATGACACAGACAAACTCTGCTGATCTGTAACTCAATGTATTCAGAGATGAAGCCCCTGAACTGTACTGAGCTTACCGATGAGCGGGTAATTTAAATGAAATTGTCGGTGGTTTAGCCGACATTTACAGAGATTCTAGTATCCCTCATTTGAACTGGTGCTGAAATTTCGGGTGCCTAGCTAGTTAGGTGGTTTGGATATAGACTCTTCAATAACAATGGAGATTTGATCATGGGTAAGGAAGTGTACATATTTTCACTGAGAGCGTTGATGGTGTGTGAATTAATTATCGCTGTCAGCTCTTTTGTCACTTTCTTGCTCAGCTTGACCAAACATCGCAAAGGGTAACTCGAAATCAGTGGTGTAGCTATATACCGAAGGTGACTAAGAAAAGCTTAATCTTCTGTTGAGCGAGTTATGGAATATTGCATTCACATGAGTTGTTCCGCCCATCCCAGATAAGTGAATGACGTTAGCTTTTCACAGCTTTAAATCTGCGGTTATCTTAATGTTGTCTTTTTTATAACTCATTGTATCGTATGGTCCCTGTTATGTTCTTGGTGAATTTGTCGTAGTACCACTTTCCTGTCGTTCTTCTCACAGATTTGATTAGCACTAGACCAAAAGCACTTGCTGAGGTGCTTGACAGTTTGTTCAACTTGCAGCGAAACGCAAAATACGGTGCCGGAACAACCGATCAGGTGATGCTTAAGGATACCAAACGGCGCCTCTCCGTTCAAACTTCAAAGTCGACCATTGTACCTCCAAGGAGAATAATCCACACAAAAGCGGGAAGCGCTTCCCCTGTTCGATCTCCATTGCAAAATGTACAACCGTGAGTGAATTTGATTACTATGAACCACACATGATAACCCAATACATTGGGTCATCGGTCAGCGGACCATCGATATGCTTTCAAAATAATCATGGGAACCTTTTAACCCTGATTACTTGAAGTTGACGGCGACGTTTTAAAACCTGTTTTCATGGCGTCAAAGTGAAGGGAGATAAGAAACACATCACTTTCCTTTAGGCGCGTCCTAACATTTACTATGTTCTCATGCAATCATCATAAAGCACTCGCGATAAGCAAACCTTGCGCACGCAAATCCAATGTTGCAACTTATGCACAATTTCCTGGACTGCTAAGATTGTGATTTTCAGTCACGATTGAATCCGCTAGGGACTCTGTTAGAAATCCAGCTATCCTGATCCCCAATCTAATGTTTGGGGGAGAGAAAGACGAACATTTTCTCCTCTAGCATTGCCCTAGTTGACCAGCTTCAGAGTGAGATACGCTGTAGCCATGTGGTACCGCGCCGCTCCGCTACATAAACATGCACTGACGATGTCACCTCGAGTGGTGATGAAATGTTTTCAGCTAACCTTCAGAGCACCAACTGAACAACCTGAGCTACCAATACTTGCTTCCATGTTCCCGATGTGTTTGCATCTTCAACGCTGCTCGATTCTTTTATAGAGTAGCTTGCGTTTCACTCGGATTTACTTGATAATGCAAAATTGTGTTGTGTGCGTAGGAATAGTTGAGAGGCTAAGTGGACTCAGTCGCTTTCTTCTCAGCGTTGGATTGTAAGTGAAGTTTTATGGCGTGCGTGGTAGTCTAACGGGTGGTATTGTTGAAATGGAAGAAGTAATCATTACTATACACAGACGTCAAGATATGATTAGCACATTGCGGTCTTGTACAGGAAACTGAACACTGGGCGACTGGAAAAGTGTACAATTAGCTAGCCGCTTTTTAGCATAAAGTTAGAAAGGGAAGGGAAGGCAACGTAAAGAAAAGCGCAAACGTACTCAAAGGAATACTTCAATTGAACAATTTCAGGGAAAAGTGCAAAAACTGATTTAAAACAAAGAGGGAAGTATTGTAAGAAAGTTGAAGTGTAGTAATGCGGTCATCTGTGGGACTGTCTCCTTGGGATGAGCTTCCATGCTGGTTAGTCTCTCGAGAGGTTGCAGGCACACTCCCTCACCCCATCTGGTTATGTGTCAGCGTGGCTCAAAATTAGACTAGCAGACATTGATTTAATTTATCACCTGGGCCATGACTTTTCGTAAGCCGGCCACTTAAGTCAGTCAGTCCGTCCGTCATTCTTTGTGGTATGGCGTGCATCAGGATCGAATTCATCGGAGTTGGTGGCATCTGCCACCAAATGTGAATCCAGCAGTTTAGAGTGTACTCCATTTTAAGTTTAGCACACCCTCTTCCATTCTCCTGTTGGCCTTTGGCTATTCCCTCGCGGGGGTAAACATTCTGTTTGGAAGCTTCAAACCATCACATCAAGAGATCAGCCCAGCGGTGACAAACAAGGTAAAACAAACAAATAAAGTGGGTAACGAAATAAGTAAAGTAAGATGATAGCAATAACAATGAAATAGTTAACTCAGTACCCTGGCTCGCGAAAATGCAGTATGCCACTCTCCTGGTTGCTGTGATAAGTGCTAGATTCTCCTTTGCACAAGTAAAAGTTCGGAAGTAAGACATACACCGCTACTTTTCTGCCTGCAATTGGGGCTTTAAGTGTGACACTTCCGAGTAGAAATGAATTGGCCAAGAACAAGAGCCAAAACAGATTCAAGGCCAAGTGGGAAGGTAATATGAAAATTCAAGTGCATTAATGTAGTCATCCGTGGGACCGTCTCCTTGGGACCTGCTTCCATGGGAGGTAGTACCTGGTGATCTTTCAACCGCACCTAGACACCCTTATCTGATCGTGCCTCGGCCTAGTTCAGGCATTTCCTTGTTGCAATGTTATACAATTGTTATACGATTATGGATTAGCGTTAGCAGGTGATAATGGTCTTTTTAGAACTGGCAGACCATGGTAAGTTCGCCAAGAAGGGGATGATGACGTCCAGTGAAAACTCCCGGACTAATCAGTGGTTATAGGGTAAATTTTCTTTGACCCCACTTAGTGCAAACTTCAAGCTAGTGGAATCCTTTTACTGACGTGGCGGCCGTGCTCGAACTGTATATTCTACGTGAAAGTGTACGTGTGCAAAAGGTAGTTTGGAAAAGACAGATTAGTCGAAGTGACGAAAAACTCGCTGTAACTTCCTCACGCTTTAGATAACCTTTGATGCCACTTCAGACTGCTCTCAGCAATGAGTTTAGAATCAGCATGAATGTGTGCCCAAAGTTGTATTAGATCATCCCAACTCACTTAGGCACAATTTGATGGATTCTACTGTGTGCCATTATTGGAAGCAACCATGTCTAAACGGCATCCTAAGGGACTCAGAAAGCACTCGCTCCCAACTGCGGAATCCATCGCGATCAGAAGAACGAAGCCAGAGCTATGCTAACAAGGGGCGCTGGTGCGAAAGTTGACCTTGGCATGTCCAAGGACGAGATAGCTGACTTTAGGCTAGTTGATCTATCTCGATGTTCAGATTTTGCCACTGAATAAGATACCCCACAGACCTGACCCGGCTTCATTGTGCTAAGCTAGAAATAGGCCGTTATTCCAACGTACACTTGATTCATAATTGTACTGTCCTAAAGAGAATTATCGAACAGAAATTTCTTCTCAGCTACCTTTTGTTCAATCCGTTTATGTCATATTGACCAAGTAGCGTTTGGTAAAGGGATACGGACAAGTCCCGAGAAGCTGTTTTTATTCTCTTTTACTAAGCGAATCAGTGCGTTAGTCAAGGTGAGCGCCGGATGCTTGGTCCCAAAACTTACTTTGAACATCACAAAGTAGCCCACAGCATCCTGGTGATTACAGCTTGTTTCACTACACTACGAGTATTAGCTAACCCACCTCACTTCCCCGGCAAACCGAGCTCACCAGGAGTTAGGTCTTCAAATTACGTCCCAATGAAGTCGAAAGTTGGCGCAGTATATGTCAGCACAGAATTCGCTCACATAATAATAATAATAATAATAATAATAATAATAGCGCATGTTCACCGTTTTACGTGACATGGACTTTTCGACATGATCAGGATTTAACAGTAATCTTACAACAGCTCAACCACTGAATAGAACATATGGATTAAAATAGGGAAAGGGCTGTGGCAGGTTTTAAAGCGATAATGAAACTGTCGCCTGGAGACCAGCTTCATTGCGAGGTCGTCTCCTTTAAGGTTTCACCCGCGTTTCTGCTTTTCCTCGGTTTCTGTGCCAATGTGACTTACAATTATGCAAGCCATCATCGGTTGCATTCATCTTTCAGGCTATTTTTATTTTTGATTAGGACAGGCACATCAGCCTAATCTGGCCGCCTTCCAGTGTGACCTAAACGCACATAGATCAGAACCGCTTCAAATTTTTGTCTGCTTTTTCGGCTATTTTATGCGTATTTCTCGTGGTCATTTAACCATTCTGAGTATAGCACTCATTTACAGGCGGATTTGCTGGACAATACGTTAACGACATACCGGCGTCCATAACCTGTAACTGCAGTGTACCTTAAGCAAGAAACTGAGTAATTTGCAAAATTGACTTTTACAGGATACAGTTCGGTTGTGTATTAAGGTGTGTACACCTGCAGGCACATTTGTCGGTTCGCCTTACCCAGCCGAGGCTGACAGACTGTTGCAATCATTGGATGAGATGGCGATAGTGGATGAATGGACATTGCGACAGTGGTGACATCTTGTTTGCAAGTTAATTGCACGTATCGAAATGGACCACAACCGCACCTGGGCATAACATGAATCGTCACAATGTTGGGACCAGATTAGGACCAGGTTGCCGCACTGATCCTGCAAACTACCGTCCAATAAAACTACCTCCCGTACTATCCAAAGTGATGGAATCAATCATCGCAGACGTGCTAATGCAATACCTGGAAAGCCATAATTTAATGGCCCCAGAGCAACATGGCTTTCGTCAAAAGCATTCGTGTAATACTAACCTATTAATTGCACGTAACAGCTGGACTGAAGCTGTTGATGATGGACTAGGAGTCGTTGTCATCTACCTGAACTTTTCAAAAGCGTTTGATCGCTTAGACTATCGAATTCTCCATCATAAACTTCGGAATTACGGCATTGGCGACCCAATCCTGAGTTGGAATGGTAATTTTCTACAAGAACGACAGCTAGTGGTGAGAGTCCGAGAATCATTTTCTCATGCAATCGATGTGGCGTGTGGAGTACCACAAGACTCGGTTCTTGGACCTCGTCTATTCTTGATGTTCATTAACTAGTTGGCGAGATCAATTGCTTCCGATTTCTTATTTTTCGCTGATGATATCAAGATATGGCGAAGGATCAGAGGACCGGACGACCACGAACGGCTCCAGTGTGATCTTAGCACGGTGTCGAACTGATCAGTTCAAAATGCCCTCCCATTCAACATAGACAAATGTCGCGTTGTACACTTACGCCATAAACATAACTACACCTTTTTACTTGTGACAAACGGATTGCAGACCAACTCCCAGGAACTTGACCTTGCTGTGATCGTACAGAGTGACCTCAACAGTTCAAAACAGGCTGAGGTAGCTGCGGAAAGAGACAACCAGCACGTGGGAATGTTGCGAAGGGCATTCGGGAGATTCGAGCCACCAATCTTCCCAATGATACACAATTCCTACGTGCGCCCGCATGTTGAATACGCTATCCAAGCTTGGCAACCTTGGTTGAAGCGCGACCTAGAAGCGATAGAGGCACCACAACGAAGAGCAACAAAGAATGTAAAGGGCCTGCGCTGTCACTCTTACCACCGAAGGTTGAAGTTGCTGGGAATTTTCAGCAGGCGCTATAGAAGGCTGCGCGGCGATTTCATATTAGCTTATCAGATATTGAGTGACCCCAACCACGTATGCCGTCATCTGCTGAAACTTAGTCACAACTCGCAGCTCTG